TCTCTCTCTCTCTCTCTCTCTCTCTCTCTCTCTCTCTCTCTCTCTCTGTGTGTGTGTGTGTGTGTGTGTTTCAGTGTCACCAACACGAACAACCAATCGATCAAGTTGAGTCTGGACCCACCAGCCCCTCCCCACCCCCCATACACGCGCGCACGCGCACCCCCTGCTGTGTCCGTGCCGCTCATGCATCACACTTTATGAATTCAATTTGAACCGGGGAGAAATTTTCAATTTGAGCGCGCGATCATTACGGCGTGGGGGGATAGCGTAAATTGTTTTTGCTCTATTATGCATTCGGACGCCATCATTTTTCTTTCTAATTACCGAGGTGTCAGCGCGGCCTGTCACCCGGGCGCTGATTTTCAATTTAACTGATCATCATACATTCATTTTCCCATTTGATAAATCTGCTATCTAGACGCGCCCCGCCATGCCCGGAATATTAAAGCGGCGCCGGCGCGCGGTAATAGGGGGATGTGTATGCGGCAATGAGCGCGGATCAGCCAGCTAATTTAGCACCTTCCACATTCCCTGTCTCCATCCCTCGGCTCAGCACCCCCTCCACCCATTTCCAATTCTCAAGAGGCAAGAGGAAAAAAAAAAAAATGGAGGAAGGAGAGGGGAGTGCCCAATGGCTGCCCAACCTCACCCAAAGGAGATATGAAAACAACAGAGGTTAAAAAAAAAATCAGAAAAGATGTTAGAGTCTTAACCCCTGATGTTTGACTTTTACTAGATCAATGAGCCATAATTGAGTTCATCGGTGGATCATATTCTTATTTATCAGATTAAAACTTGCTCGTCCTCCTTACATCCGGAGTAAAAGTAAACCTATTTAGTTCATAAAGTTGAGGCTGAACCCCCAAATCAGTCACAAAACACCAGATGGGGGTCCTCAGATCTCTATAAAACAATTTACATAAAAAAAACAACAGATTTGTGACATATTGTCACCGTGTGATGAAAACAGCAGTGCTATGACACTGTGGAAGTTATGACTGTTTACGTTTTTACTGTTTGCTTTATATAAACCAGCGATAGTTGAGTCACAAGAGTTTTTCACAATCATTTTGTGGCTCGAGAGTTAAAAATATTGGGAATCACTGTAAACCTGTTCACCCTCTTCCTCCTTTACGGGTCACAGGGGTCACTGTAGTCCCTCTGTACTTCGTGGTTCGACTTTCACAGACTCGCTCTTTCGTAGTTTTTCAACAACTGTCGATTGTAATATTACTCACGTAATTGGGACGGTAACGGATAAAAAGTTAGCGAAAGAAAAAACTTTGGACAGGCGCAGCCATTTTGTAGTTTTCTTTCAATAAGCCTGTCAAAAGTACTACACTACCCAGAAGCCAACAGTGCTACCAGCTGCTGCTTTCTGCTGAAATTCAAGGAACAGCAATGGACGACGCAAACATGATCCGATGTGCTTTAAAATAGTTTTGCAACGCAAAGTCAGAACTAACGATCTACATGAAGCTCACAGAACTGACAGGAAAGTTACAAATGATCCTGAAGCTCAATTATCCACGTGCACACCTGGACGAGGCGGTGGACTTCATCGCTGCAGGGTAGGTCTGCAGAACCAGAACAGATCTGCTGGTCTGCAGAGCTGGTGAGTAAAATTTTACTGTACAGTACAGTTACGTATGCTGTTACGTAGGTTTAAGAGTTTAGAACATTGCAAGAGTGTGGGAAAGGTTTATAAAGCCTTAAAATATACATTTAAATAAATGCTGTTTTTTCACTTATCACAGGGGTGTGTGGAATGTAACCCCAGCGATAATCGTGGGACTACTGTACATTAATTAGAAACTGCCGGTAATACTGAATAGGCCAAAAGCACAAAAAGGCAAACAATGAAAGGAGTAACAAAATATGTTATATCAAGAGCTATTTCAGAGTCAGAGTCAGAGTCAGAGTTTCTTTATTGTCATTCGCACCTCATGTGGTTCATGTGGTGGAGCGAAATTATGTACACGGGGTCCCAGTTACATCCAACAATAAAATGTATAAGAAAAACAGTAATAACATCTAAGATATGAACTAAGAAAAACATCAACTAAATATACACTAAGCACTCATAACATAAAACATTGAACATCAGCACAAACATGAACATGAGTCTGTGAGCAGATGTGCACGCATGAACACATCAACATTGAAACAGATCAGCAGCAACATGAAACAGATCAGCAGCAGCATGAAACAGATCAGCAGCAACATGAAACAGATCAGCAGCAACATGAAACAGATCAGCAGCAACATGAAACAGATCAGCAGCAACATGATATGGTTTTTCACAGTGATTATTCTAGTTAGAGATTCATGAGTCTAACAGCCTCAGGGTAGAAGCTGAGGCTTCTATTTCAAGGTAGAAACATAAAATATG